TGAACCAGTGAAACTGAAAATGTTTTTCACCCTCACCCTGAGAAATTCCTCCCCTCACAAGCCTTACAAAATTCTCCATTCAGGAGCTGTGTACAACCTTTTTCTTCAGAATAATTTCTGCTCACCTTCCTCCCCTGGGAGGCTCGAACAAGATTTAAGAACAGGGCCATTATGAAGCTGCTGGACAAGATGTGGGGTGAGATATTAGAATTATAGAATCACAGAACAGCCTGGGTTGGAAGGGATCTTGAAGATCATCTCATTCCACCCCCTGCCACGGGCAGGGACACCTTCCACAAGCCCAGGTTGCTCCAAGCCCCGTCCACCCTGGCCTTGGACACTTCCAGGGATGGGGCAGCCACAGCTTCTCTGGGTAACCTGTGCCAGGGCCTCCCCACCCTCCCAGGGAAGAATTTCTTTTCTAATATCTAATCTAAAATGCATTTGAAGTCAGTTGAGTTTTGCCTCAAATGATTTGCATCTTTTATCTGCTCTGGCACCCACATCCCATTCTGCTTCCAATTTTTAGGTGCAGCATTTCCATATCTACTTTTCCTCCTTCATCTTACCCTGTAAAGGGATTGCCTGTGGATACCCCAAGGGTTGCCAACTTTCTCCAGCTTCCTGTAGTACGTTGCCATCCCAGATGATTCCGTACCCACGAGGTTTAAGAATGAACTGGTTTAATAATTCACAGCCAAGGGAGCATTTCTGACAGACAGACATTGCTGTAGAGAACTGGAGAGCACAAATACCACATCTGTATTTAAACATACGCCTGAGGCTATGATCTGAAAGCTCACAAACTAGCAACCTTTAAATCTATATCTGGGAAAAAAAACCAGTTTGAGTGATCATGAAGAACAGAATATTATGAGCTCAATTTTCCACAAAACTACTGCAAGTGGAAAGATAAATTTTCATCTTTGGAAATCAATCCTAATGCCTTCCAGTTTTTTTTGATTGGAAGAGATGAATGAAGTATGAGCAGAGATATTTGATCCTGGGGGTTACTGACTACATTCAGGCCAGAACATGAGGAATTGCAGAGGGAACTATTTAGAGTAATGGGCAAGAAGAAGCTCAAAGCTGGTAAGGCAAAAGTAACATGTATTGCAGGAAAAAAAGTCATGGAAGTGCTCAGAGCTCACAGGGTATTAAAAAGGTAACATCAGCTAAAGAAAGAGAGCTTAGTGACATTGTAAATGTGTCAGTGCAAATCACAATTAGGAGGAAAGACAAAGGCATGTAGATAGATAGGGAATGCGTGATAAATAAGAATTAATTAGCATGTACAGACCTAAATTAGGGATGCAGTTACACTAAAAGAATATGATGGCACCACAATTAAATACAGAAATGTTAGGGGTGCATTGCTAATTCACAGTTCCCCAATCCACAGCCTCCTCTCCTCACTGTGGACGCTTTATCAAAAAACCTTTAAGCAACAGACAATCCACTAAACAATTTGAAACGAAGAAAGACAGGTAAGAACATTATCCCCATGTTCTGAAGAGGTATAGAGCTATTAAGTGACTTAAATCTATGCAAAAAGCCCATGGAGGACATGGGATTAAGGCATCTCAGCCTCTGAGTTCCAGCCCAGCAATCTGATCCCGACTGATCTTCATGGTAAAGACAACAGCGCCCTTAGAATTCTCTTCAAATCCTGGTTTCCAAACCCAGAGTTCAGAGGGGGAGGATTTATAAAGCTAAAACTCTGCCTATTTGCTTTTGTAAGGGAGAAAAATACTTCATAAAAAACAATCAGGAAATAAATATACTTGGGAAGAGTTTGCAATCTTAAGGTGAAAATGCTGATGCAGACCCTCAGAAACACAAGCTTAGCCTGCAGTACCTCATTTTACAAAGACAACTAACTAACAACAAACTTCTGGCAGGTTTATTAGCCCAGCACTTCCATGGCTGTTCACACCCCCAGTTTTCCCTTCCCTCTCTCCCTTTGCTTTGGCAGAGCATCCTGGCAGCTCCTCTCCCAGGGAGGCAATCCAGCTGCAGGCAGGAGAGCTGCCAGCTCCTAACCCAAGGATGCAACACAAGACCCGAGGGGGCACCTTTTGTGAAAGAACAGGCTGTGCTCATTATTTAATTAATTACCAGTCAAGTTACCTGCCCAGAGAATATTAAAATGCCAGAATAATTGTGACATTGAGACTCGGTCAGAGCCAGCTCCTTTCTGCTGATCACCCCAAGAGGTGCCTTCTGAGGGTGGCACAGAGAAGGAGCAGCTTTAAGAGAGGCAGGGGATTGCAGGGAGATGACTCATTAGCCTAATTGATGAAGCCAGTCAAGTTCAACCCATGGTTTTGATGGGGCAACCAGGCCAACACACAGCATCTGGGGGAGTTCATGTCTGCTTTTCTCTGGTATCCTGGGACCACACAAAACATTTTGAACTGCTTTCAGGGACTTCTCTCAGTAGCTCGGGGAGTTCAATCATTTGGTGTCACCTCCACCCCCCAGAGATCCCTCATGTGTCAGTAACATCAGAGAACAGCCCTGAGGTCCTCCAGGCCAGATGGAGTGACCACCTTGGATGCCTCCAGCTGCTCTTCTCCAGTGGGCTGGAAACTGTGCCAGTGCAGCCCAAGAACCACCAGGTGGCCTGTGGTTTCCTGCAGTTAAGGCAAACTGCCTCAAGCAGCTCTGAGCTGGATTTTAGGGGACACAGTGGCCCAGCTGCTTTCCTGGCACCCATCACCCTGCACCCAGCTCCAGGTGCTGGCCAGCTCCTCCAGTCTCAAGCACCATCTCCTCCCTTCTCACAGAAGAAAGAGTCTGAAACCACTGAGCATAGCAAGCTGCTGCTGCTACCACACCACATGAAGAGAAAGGGATGCTGGAAGGCTCTTTGACACAAAATACATTTATTCTCCTTTTAGAAGTGTGTTTTTTCCTTTGGGGAAAGGTGCAAGCAAGACTTCAGCTGCAAACCAAGCATTTTGTTCTTCTGGAGAGCACAGCAGCACTGATTTATGTATTATTAAAATGGCTACATATGTTCTTTGCAGCACTGCTGGCTCAACTGGTATCTGGGTTTCTGCTCCCTGCCTCCGAATTTTGGTGCTTTTCTCAAAGTTCTGGAATGACAGTCACATTTTTGTAGACCAGAGCTCAAAAATAGCACTAAAGGTTTTCTGACATCATAATTTCCAAGGTGTTCTTTGAGCATATTATCATAATAAAGGGGCAATCCATACATGTCCAACAGAACTGTAGAGAGATCAGTTATTTTCACACCCTCACATATCTGTATGGTGGCCCTAGAAGGTGGCCCATAGCTCTCCTGTCACCACAGCTCAGTTGTTCAGGTGTTTTGTTTTAGTCAAGAGCCCCATCAAAACCAGAGTGCCAGGAGCTAACTGAATAATGGGAAAGTCATTTTCCCCGTTTGTCTGACAGAAAAGGCCTCTGTTTGGGCAGCATTATCTGCAGCCAATTATTCTGCTCTTTCCAGCAGTGCTCCAGGGAGCTGTAGCACTTCTCCACAGGGCTCAGCAGCTGTTCATTAGGTTGGTCTCCCAGCTCCCCTTGCTTGCTTAATGCTCACCCTGCAGTGCCAGATGATAGGAGCAGTACCTGCTACCTGTTGCTCTGTGTTACCCCAGTAGGGCTTTGGAACCTATCCCAGCCAGGGAAAGAGCAGAGAGCTTCGATTCTTGGATTAGGATACAAAATGCCACGATTTATCACAACGAAGGAAATGTGGCACACTGAGAATGCCCCCTTGGGGCAAAACTCCAGTACCACTTGTGCACTGGGACACTGCAGCTGGAAGCTGAAAAACATCACTTCATTAATATATTTTGGCAAGAACCTGCACTATTCTCTTTGATACACATCTTTCCTTCGTAAGGACTCCCTGGTTTGTCTCTAAAACCACCTGTCTGCAGTGGGATCACCAGTAGGAGCATCACAAATTTGGGTGGTCTCTCTCATCTGTGCAACATTTACAGCCAAGGAACACTCCTCAGAGGAGGATTTTGACTGTGCAAGGTGGGAGAAGTCAATTCATTGCCAGCATTCTCTTCTATCAGAGGGGAGGGCACTAACCATGCAAAAGCTCAGGTGGGAAGGGTCCCAGCAGTCCTCTTCTCCCTTGAAACTGTGCTTAAATATTCCCCAACAATTAAATAAGCTTATGACTCTTAATACATTTGTAGTTCCTTGAAGGAAAAAGGTCTGCAGAGGCCTTGATCCACTAGATTTTTTTATGTTTTCCTGTAGAGGTTTGAATCTTATCTTTGGATTTTCCTCAGAACACGGCTGTGGATACCCTTTTCCTCCAAGTCAAATAATAATTCAGAGGTGTAGTTTGGTGCCTGCTTCCTAAACCATTTCATCTGTTGGACCCCAAAGATCCTCCCAGGCACCAGAGCTGGTCCCACTGAGGGCATGTTCCGCTGCCTGTTGGTGTTCAGCCTCCTCACTGATTCTGCCCCACATTGTGTGTTCCCTGGCTGAGGTTTGAGACTGTTGGGACAGTAGGAGCGATTATTTATCAGTTATTTATCTCTGCCTAAGAGAAACTTTTCAGTATGACTTAAGGATTTGACAGGATTTCTACTTCACCTCAGTACCCTGTGCATCAGCCCTCGGACACAGCTCTTACACCACCACGTTACTGGGAGGGGGAATCCCAGAGCTGGGACTGCTCAGCAGGAGAGGGGCTGCAAGGTTCACACTCCCCAAATATCTACACATAACTGACAGCATGTGCATTATGGCATGTCTTTAAGAATACAGATATATAATTAGGATTTCCTCCGAGAGGCCTTAATAAATTGTCATTTATTAAGGAAACAAGTACTTTGAATTGCTGTGGAATCTCTCTGCACAGGAGCTGACAGCGCAGATTTCTTGGAAGTGTCACATTCAGAGCAAATTAACACACAATTAAAAGCCAGTTTTGAGACAACTCTCTCACAGACACCAAGCACTGGCTGTGACACAGGACATGAGACACGAGGCATCGCGTGACATCAGGAAGCACATTTCTGTTTATTTGCCTTTCTTCAAGAACTCTCACTCACCATCAGGCCAAGGAGTGCATACAAGATGTACAAGAGAAAGATTAAAAGAGACTTTATCACTGTATTCTGTGGTATAAAGGCCCACAGCCTCTGGGGTTTGGTTGGTTGGTTTTCTTTTTTTTTTTTTAAAGGATACGTTTTTACCCTGGCTGAGGTGCTACAGTTCAGAGAACAACCCGTTGTCTGCAGGAAATCTCTTTAGAAAATTAGAAGTGAGCACAGCTATTTGCTGGGCTGTTTTACTGAACAAACACTGCCAGCTGCACTGAGAGCATTTTACCAGACACTTGTCAGCTCCTGAACGCCCCAAGTTCATAAAGACAATAGGAAATCCGACTGCAGAGTGAGAGGGAGAAGTGGTCGGAGTTTCCCCCCCCTCACAGCAGATTCCCGCCTGCTGCAAACTTGGGTTTCATTAATTCAGCAGAGCTCTGGTGACCCACAGCAGAGGTTCTGCCCTGGAATAAACAGCTGGCCCACAGTCTGACTCCTAGTGTTAGTAACTTCCATACATAATACTAAAATCCAAGGTTTGTCTCCCAGTCTCCTTCACATGATGCTCTGCCTGTTCACGTCCACGTTGTACGCCGAGGAATTGGCACAGCCCCGGCCGAAATCGATAAAAATGCCTTCGGAATCCGAGTCGATCGACTCCAAAATCTGATCCACTATGTTCTCGGGGCTGGAAGAGGGAACTGGAATCAAGGAAGGGTCTCTGTCCAGCTCAAAAGACCTGTGTGGGTCGTCCATGGGGTGGAAGAGTCCTTTCTGCTGCTCGGCCGTGCCCAGCTTGCCGGAGCACTGCCCCGACCCGGCGCTGGGCCGCTCCTGCTCCCCGGACAGGGAGCTCTTCGTGGTCGTCACGGAGCTCTTGGAGCCGTTGTCCATGATGGTGGTGAGGTTGGAGTAGCCCTGGAGCTCGAGGCAGGAGGTCATTTCGGACACGGAGTGCCTGCGGATGCCGGTGCCGTTGGAGGCCATGCCCTCCGTCTCGTACTCGGCCACGGGCGTCAGCAGCGGGTTGTTGTAGCTCTTGGACCTCACCACGGGGTTCTTGGCCAGGACGTCGCCCGACTTGGAGCGCCTGAAGAACCTCTTCTCTGTGAACACAGGAACACCCAGAGTCACACCCACAAACTCCGTTTGTACGGCACTAATAACCACGAGTGTTCAAAATTCATGAGCCTTTTCCTAAATGACAGAAACTTTTACACAAGAACACGCTTCACTGGTTTTGTAGGTCTGCAGGCTTCACATTTCCTGCTTTTCTTCAGCACACTGAAGCCCCCAAACCTATCTTTACAAATAACAGCTTAAATTCGCTTATATTTACACAACTTCAGCAGCTGGAGCAGAACAGTAAATATTGTGGGAGAGGTGACATAAAGTTGTAAATATTTTCTTTATTCAAGAGCAGAAAGTGCAGTTCTGCTCCTGTTCAGGCTACAATCATTCTTTTCTAGCAGTTGAATTTTAAGTTTTCCACCTACCCTGGGAAAATCAAGTCTCTTTAAATTTGGGGCAATGAGGATTAAGACAGGCAGTCTTTCTATTGGCTCTGGAAAAATTAGATTCAAAGCATCATTCAGAGATCACACATAGGGAGAGCACCAGGAGTGTTTGGAAATGTTAACTGGAGGGCAGTGCCCACAGGAACCTATTTTTGGGGAACAAACCTGCACTCAAAGCCAGTGATTGCCCGAAAGCTGCTGTTAAGCAAGTGGGATTTTTCCAAAAAATAGGCAGCAGGTGGCAGCACGGGAGCATAGAGCTCTTTCTCCAGCGGTGGTTTAGGGCTGGAGTGCTCTAAAAATCACCACCAAGCAAACTTTGTGCTCAGACTCACTCGTGCTAACAAAAGAGAAAGTGGTGTGAAGAATAGGTCTCACTTTGGAAGCTTTCTTCCAGCTCCTCTCATTTTGCCAATCCATGAAAGGGGCATGGCTGGAGCAAGGCATCAAAACACCCTCTGGAAGTCAACCACAGGCACTGCAAATACACTGTCTGCTTTAAATCAGGATGCTGGTACATGTTCCCTGCAAACCATGCAACTTCCTTTACAAATGCCAGTCTTGTAAAATTATATGTAATTATGTGCTTACCTGGACACAAATTCCAATCACATGCTGTACTACTTAAAAAGCCAGTTTCTGTACTTAAAACTGTATTTTGCAGTTGTCCCTGTGACAGCAGTGAAACATCTGAACCAAGTTCACTTTTGGACTTTTGCTTTGTTAGGAGTCTGACCTGGCAAACAGAGAAGGTTTCCTGGGGCTGCCCTGCCACAGGAACTCTGGCTTTTGGTCACAACATGTCACGTGTTGCCAAAGCAGCTGGACAGAGGTGGATGCATCAGTTTAAAAGCAGCAGAGACTCCAGTACTCAGCTTCCTTGGATCCAGGCTCAGTGACTGCAGTCAGACCTATTCAGAGGTTCTGCTACAGCTCCACACCCCAGACCACAGCAAGAGGCCCACCAGAACCTTCCTATCTTCTGCAGTCATGTAATGCAACATTTATTTTCTAACAGTTCATTTCACTGGTGTTTTATTCTCTTTGGGTGAGTTTTTTTCTGTCCTGACATACAAAAGCTTGTATTGAGAAAACTGTCAATTTGGGGCTCCATTTAAATGCTTGTGGCATTTTAGTGGCAAGCAATGAATACAAAGTAGTAATTCTGAACCATTTTCCATAAATAACTGGCCTCTATTTATTCACCTAAAACTGATTTGTTTCTTAAACTGCAACACAACCACTTTTCCATTCAGCTTCAAGGGAAAATCAACTTCCTTACTGACCGTTTCTGACAAGCAAACAGATTAAATTGACTGCAGAGAAAACACACAATTGAACTTATTTTCCTCTCTGTTTGCTCTATTCAAGCAGCCCATCACAGCATTTACATTAAAACACTCAGGTGCTACCACATTTCCTATTTCATTTACACTGGTTGTATCCCTCCTGCATTTTCAACAGACTGAATCATTTTGGGGGATATTCAAAAGACCTTCCTTCATCTTGGCCAAATCTTGCCTTCACAGAAGTCACAGGATGCTTCAGAGCTCAAAGAATCACACAAAATAAGCTGGAGGGGACTCCAGAAGGTTCTGCCTCAGCCTCTGGCACCAGGCTGGCCCACGTTTACCCCCCCTGCTCCTTGTGGATGTTGATGTAGGTGACGTGTATAAAGTGCCTCACAGTGAAGATTTAACAGCCTCCAGAGGCAGTTCACGTGACATTAGAGATTTCTCCTTCCATGTAACCTGAATTTCCCCTGCCTTGTGTGGCTCACTCTATTTTTCTTACCTCCACTGAGATGGAGAACACCTTATTACCTTCTACTCTGCAGAAAGCTTTTACCTGTTTGAAGGCTTATGCATTAGTCTGCTCTAAGATAAATTCCTGCTCTCTTCCCTAATTTTAGCAGCCTTGCAGGATCTTTGTGTAGTAATGAACACTAATGAACTACTGAGCACTTCAGAGGGGGCTTCTTGCTTCTTCCTCTCCCTGTCCATAAAATACCCTGTGTTAAATCTGTCTTGTTAAAGGCAGAATGGAAATGCTAAACACACTCTAGATTCACTTTTACTGATTTTTATTACTGAGCACTGTTATGATGATCCATTTTCATCTTCTGCCACTGGCAAGTTTCACTGTGACTCTGCACATTGCAAAGAGCGTAGAAAAAGAGCCTGACTGCCTCCTGTGAGTACTGCAAGTTGTCTCTTGTGAGGATCCTGGCCCTGCACAGAGCAAGGTTCTGGGGAAGCCTCTGTGCTGTGCCAGACAGAGCCCAAATTCTTACCCAGGATGCAGGAAGAGTGTGTGAAGGGTCCGTCGCTGGAGTACAGACCGTACGTGCCCAGGTAAGGAGACACGACCTTCTGGATCAGGGATTCCAGCTTCAAGTAATCTTCAGTCACACCTTTTGACTCGTGAACCCCCTGAAAAAGAGAAAATACCCAAGATGAGCCCCCTCCAACCAGGAGCTTTCCTGGCTCACCAGGGCAAGCATTCTCACTGAGCCATGGCAAAGGTGCACTGTGATCCAGGTTTCTTCCCACAGCTGATTCCTCACCCTGTAAAGCCAAGAGATGTGACTCAGGCCAGAGCTACTTCCAGGGCATTTAAATCCAGGAAGGTGTATCCTCCTTAGTGCAAAGGCACTCAGGGAGGATGGAGGGTCTGGTCCAGTGAAGAGGAATTAGAAACATCCCCGGACTATTTGCTCATTTACACTGGCTGTATCCTTCTTGCATTTTCAACAGACTGAATCACTATGGGGGGTATTCAAAAGGCCTTCCTTCATCTTGGCCAAATCTTGCCTTCACAGAAGTCACAGGATGCTTCAGAGCTCAAAGAATCATAGAAAATAAGCTGGAGGGGACTCAACTCCTGAACGACAGCGTCTGGTACCACAGGGTGTCACTGCCACCTCAGCCATACCAGCAGCATTAGGGAAAAGGTGAAACTGAGACCCTCAGAAGTATTTCTTCCAGGGTATTTTCAACAATAAATATTTACAGTGAAGAAGCTTGTTCTCCTTCCTCATCCCTTCCCTGGCACTCGCCATTATTATCCAGGCAAAAGTCGCATAATTAGCACGGTAAGAGTCACCCACAGGGAAAATCTTTGGCCTTTAGTTGTTAACTCTGCACTTCCACCCACAAGTGGGCTTGTAAGGCTGCAGAGGTGATGGAAAAGCCCTGCAGAGCTGTTATTCTCCCTTTGTGTGCTCCTGCACTGTCTGAGTAGAGCCCTGCACACTCACGTGCAGGATTCCTCCTGCAACATGGAGCAAATTCACATTTTAGTGTGTTGCTATGTGGCCATATGCTTGACACATCACGTTGCAGAATTTAAGATCCTAAATGCCACGCTCAGCAAAAGCTCTGCTTGAATTTTGCAGAATCCCAGATTTCATAACGTGCCCCTGGAATTACTGTAAGAAGAAACACGTTGGGATGAAAGCCTCCAGAGAGCAATATGCAGATCAAGTGAGTAAAATTGCAACACTTCCTTCAGCATGTGAAAGGATCCTGACGTTCAGGATGTATTCACAGCTCAGTCTGACTCATTAACCAGAGTCTGGGGTGACTATCAGAGGTGTTTGTGAATGGCTGATTTCATCCCTCGGCTGCTCCTCGCTTCAGAAAAGTTTATGAATGGAAAATGAATAATGGCCAGCAGAGAATCTGAATTTGGACAGAACTGGAATTTGGGCAGAATTTGAATTCCGTGTGGGTCACAGATTCACCTCATGCCCACCACTGCTGTCCTGCAGCTGCTGTGCCTGGAGAGCCCATCGGCTCCTTGCTCATGAGAAACACCCTCTTCTCTCAAAACCCCGACTCCAAATCACCTGAATCAGCTACTCCTTTAGTCTTGCCCTCAACCTTCACCCCTGCTCTCCCCAGAGCAGTGCTAATCCCTACCCCCTTTTCCCTTCACCCTCTTTTAGTTCACACTTTTGCAGTGCAGAGGCCACAAAACACCACCTTTACATGTAAACCCACCCAGCACTGACACAGCCTGCCACAAGACGTTCTCCTCAGCTCTGCATCCACGGGATGCTTTTAAAAACATACTGAAAAGTCACAAAACAACAGCTGGTGTCTGCTGGAGCCGTGCTGAGTTCTTTTCTGCTCTGCACCTTGACACAAATGTGCTGTATCCACCTGCAACATCCTTCCTGCTCTGGCCATTGTTCCAGGCTTTCCTGTAGTTCCCTTAAACCATTTAATTGCTGTGGAGCTTCTGGGAGAGCAGGAGTGTAACAGGCTTCTGAACTTGTAAAACAGTGGTTTTCCTGCATTTCTTTCTGCTGTGCTATTTATTGACAAACACCCCCTGGGCCTCTTTTGAACCACACACAAGTACATCCTAAAGTTCAGTAAGGACTATTTCAGCTTTCCAAACCCAAACAGTCCTTGCTGGTACCATATGGGGCCAAGGAGCTTCATGGGGAAGGATGGACACCCCCTAAAGCAGATCAGCTTCTGTTTTGCTTTATCTGCCAGCCCTGAGGCTGCATTTTAACTCTTATCCCTCCCCTAGAGGTTTCTACCCCATCCACTGTGCCACAGGCAAAATGACTTGTTTGTGTGACATCAAATTCTGGTGGGAGTTTAGGAGAGAGGAAAGCATGGTTAGAATACTTTATATAGATATAAAAATATAAATATTTCATATATCTGTGTGTAAAGACAGATACATCTAGACATTTATACATCTATTAACATCAATATCAATATATACTTAAAGTTATATGAAGTCCTTTTTAGACCCTTCACCAAACTTGTAAGTGATTGTGCTTAGAAAGGCAAAATTAGCTTTATAGTTAAGCCAGCTTGGAATAGTTATTCATGCCAAAATAGTTTGTGAAAAACTGATGATAAGACTTAAAACTCACCAATAATTATAATAATAATAACAATAATAATAACAATAGTAATAACAACAACAACAATAATAATAATAACGTATTTTGCTGTTATTTTGGCAGCTCATGGTTCTTCTTGTATTTGCTTGATGCCTTACTGGTTTGGTATGTCACTACAGAGGAACAAAGCAAAAGTCATATCTAGCAGGCTGGCTGCTCAGCTGGCAGGAAGCTCTACCACAGTTTGGAGGAAAAAAGAAAACTTGGAGCGTTATCAGCAAAACAGAGACTCTCCCCTTATCTTTAATGCAGTATTTGCTCTGCAGACATGCAAAAACTTGCTTTAAAAGATAACTGTGACCTTTCATGAACCCAATTTCGTTTTAGCAGGAGAGTTTCATGCTTCTCTGTGACTGTGAGATGTATCTATTAAATTCCTTTCAAAGGCCTTGCCTGACCTATTTATTTCTCAATTGAGGGCCAAAATAGCTCAATATCAAATATCTGCAAGTACCTTAGTACTTTTGGAAGAGCGGAGCTGCTGGATCAAATCCTCATCTCAGTCACAGTGTTTTGAAATGCAACAAGAGTCACATCATTATCTTTGGAAGGATGACAATGTTTTATTATGACCAGAGCCTGCCTTGCTCTCAAGGCACAGAAAATGAGGATTTGAGTCCTGAATAAGTGAATACCATTGCAAATGGAGAAGGTCTATCAAGAACAAAGATGTGTATTTCTGCATTTAACACAGTATCCATGTCCCAAACTTCATCAATCTGTAATTAAATCATTTAGGACCAAAAAAATTGTATACAGTAGTTCAAAAGCATTAAAAGGGCCCTATGCATGATTATTTTTGCTATGTAAATATATAAGTATTCCCTGAAGGGCCATATACCCTGAAGACTACAGGTTATTGATGCATCTACTTTATGAAGATGCTGCCCCATCTGCTGAACTGCTGGAACAAAACTTTTCTTGTGCTTGGGAACAAAACCAAAGTCAAACCTATAAGTCATTCCAAGAGAATGGACCCTCTGAACTGCTCAGGTTTCTGTCCCTGTTAATTCTGTACATTAACCACAAACTCCTACTGTGTTTTTAAAGGGCACAAGGGCTTCTTGCAAAAGCACAGAGGAAAGAATAAACAGATCTGTTCAGAAGAATAGCTGGGGATTTTTGCAACCCCACATAAGGTCACAGTCTCCTTTTTCCATGTGTAGAACCAGAGAATGGTTGGGGTCAGAAGGGACCTTAAAGATCATCCAGTTCCCCTCCTGCCATGGGCAGGGACACCTTCCACTAGCCCAGGTTGCTCAGAGCCCCATCCAACCTGGCCTTGGACACTTCCAGGGATCCAGGGGCAGCCACAGCTTCTCTGGGCAACCTGTGCCAGGGCCTCCCCACCCTCATAGGGGAGAATTTCTTCCTAAAATAGGACTTCTCAACAGAATGTCTCATATATGGCAAGAGACAAGAACCCAACCTCTGCTGGCTGTTCTCTTTGCTCCCTGGCTGCTTTTCCTTGCTGCCTGGCCCATGTAACCCCAGTTCAGTGTCTGAGCTGGATCTCCCCCTGGCCATCACTCCCTCATGCCTGAGTCCTTTCGTTTTAACCCTCAGCTTTGTCCCCTTCACATCTGCTGTTCCAAAACACCCCACATCCATCCTCAGCTCCTCTTTCAGGCCCTGGGCAAGCCCCCTGTCATCTGCTGATCTCCTCTGCCACATGAGCCTCTCTGCATTCATCTTTACTGCAGCTGCTTCAGCTCTGGCTGGACAACTGCCCATTGTCCCAGGTAACCCTTCACTCATCTGTGTCTGAAAACAATCATAAAGAACTCTTAAACACCAAACTGCTTTTAACTGACCAGCAGTAACTCAGTGTTTTGCTGAGTGTTCATAAAAGCCACAGGCCCTCTGTGGTTTCCAGTTCTGACTAAAAGCACCCACCACCAGTAACATCTAGAAATGGTGGTACTGCTCAGTTGCTTTTCACTTCCCTCTTTAGCACAGAATACTGTAAGATCATTAACCTAATAAATCATACATTATAAAGTATCATCAGTCTCTAAGGGTGCCCTAAAAACTGGATGCAGTGGAGGAACCACTTCACACCCCCCTGCAGCTCGTGGATGTGCTGAAGTGTGCACTGGCCACGGATTAAAGGATGTAGCACTCAGACTGAGCTTTAACCCTTCAGCTGAGCAGCCCCTCTACATGAGTAAGTCTCAGTGCAGAAGGCTGTCTTCTGTTTCAACTGGCAAACTGCTGCACAGCTTTTAAATTAAGGAAAAAAAAAAAGAATAGAATAAAACATAAACAAAATCTGTCTTTCTCCAGCCAGGGTGGGAAAGCAAGGGCTTCTGGAGAGAGTCCCACCCTCTGCCAGGAGCAGACATGGCACTGAGGGAGGCACAGCATGTCTTAGTCCTTGACACAGGGGCAGCTTTACCACAGGGACACCAAGCAGGAACAGCTGGGAGCCAATCCCTGGGTCACCAACTTGTGGACTCAGGAGAGTAAGGAGTAAAAGACAGACTTCTGGATTATTTAATG